GCAACATTGTTTATAAATATATATAGAATATATATTATAAATATATTTAAATAAAGCAAATATTTTTTGAAGCATTTTTTGTTTTTTTCGTTTTAAATTCTCTTTCAATCTACATAAAACGCTTAGCAAATATTATAATATATAATAAATAAATATATATTTTTTAAGTATATTTTTAGGGTTTATATTAAAAATATTTTTTTAAATACTTTTTAGGACTTAACAAATTATTAACCTATATAAGGCCACAGAAAATTCTTCTGGCAAATTTGAAATTAATTTTTTCAATTTTTTTCAGATCATTTTAAAACCACTCCTATAAGTATGCAACAATTTTGTTTAAATATCATCCCACAAGAACACTTTAAATTTAATATTTTCTCCAAAATTGATACTCAAATTTTTCGACATTAATTGTTAAATAGTACATTATTTTAATTTAAATTTTTTGTAGATCATTTTAAAGTCCGCTCCTAAAAGTATGCAATATATTTTTTTAATTTCATTCCACAATAACAATTTAAATTTAATGTTTTCTCCCTACAAAATTGATACTTCAATTTCTTGACATTCATTTTTAATTACCCGGCATGGCCCCTTCATTGGAAGCCTCTTTACATTTTGATTGCAATTAAAAGCAACAAAAAATTGAAAACATTTTTAAGATGCCAACAAAATGAGCTTCATAAACAGACAAAAATAATTATGAGAATTTCTACTTGAATGTCACCTCCAGCAAGCAATGCTGATGGATACAAAAAACGAACAGAAAAAAATATTTTATCACAGATTTTCCTAAAGGTCAAGAGATGGACGAACCGAGAAAAAAAATCATCATCATAAAAATAATTGCAAAAAGTACATTTCTTTTTTCTACGACTGGTGCTCGATTCACAATAAACCGTCATGGTGAGTGTTGAAAAGTGAAATAAGCCAGAATCTCTAGTATTCCATGGATTTGTTTGTTGGGCGCCACTTGTTGTGAATGGCTGTTAACAAGATTTCTTGAACAACTCATTAACTGCCAGTTGGCTTTTCATGACATATGATGAACAGCTAATTATTTTGATGACCAGCTGGGAGGCAAAAAAAAAAAAAAAAAAAAGAACAAGAACAACAGATAGAAGGGCCCGGTGTAAGCAATATTACTCGGTGGCTAGCAAGAATTAATGAGAAAAAATAATACAACACAAAATAAATGTACCTAAATGCCAGCTAAGTGGAAAGCTTAATGAAATGAAAAATTAAAATTAAAAAAAATACAACAGAATTCATTTTGAAATTAATTCTAGGAAAAAATAACACACACACACAATATGACCATTAAGAGTGACAGGTACTTGGGCAAGAATGTAAATAGTGGGGGTGGGGAGAAAGAAAAAATGAATGAAAATAATTGAAATAAATTCCTGGGAAAACTGAATTTGAATGGAAACAAATGTTTAATGTTGATACAAAATGTGAAGAATAATTGCAGGATACTTCTTTAAAAAAATGTGTTGCATACTTTTAGATGCTGACTGTTAAAAAACGAAAAATAAATATTTATTGAAATTAAATACACATACATTTAATTAATTGCAAATAATTTTAAATGTAAAAATGTGGAAAATTGTATGCAAAATTATGTTAGTATTTAACCAAAACATAAAAATATATTGCATACTTTTAGGTGCCTACTTATGGCTAATTTGTGTTTCTATAACCTTTATTGCAAAAATGGTGCATACTTCTGGGCACCACTATGGAAAAATCTAATTGAAATATTTCTGAAATTTACGGCATACAATATTAATAAAATGTCCATGAAAGACAATTTTTGACAAAAAAGTAATATAAAAAATAAAATCAAAATATATTGTATAATTTTAGGCTCGATTTTCTTAATGTGAAAATGCCCTTCACCATTAAAATAAATAAATTCGATTGGAACTTTTGAGTTGTGGTTTTGACATAGCAAATTACTGAGAGGAGAAAACAAAATACCACAGATAGACCCTTAAAATCCCAAAACAGGTGCTGGAGCTTTATATGGCGGCTATACCCAAAGATCGAACACTATATATAATTTTTGGTAGGATATTTATAATTTTTGAGAACACAAAATAGTAAATTAGAGCCATGTCGATTTAAAACACATTGCCTGAAACCCTTAAAATAACGAAAATCGAAGGCTACCATTATAAGGGACCTATACCAAACACGTGGACCGATACTTTCAATTTTTGGATGGAAGGTTTGACGCCTTACGAGAACCTTAGATATAAAATTAAAGCCAATTCGATTGAAAATCGTGTCTAAAATCCTTAAAATCCCATAATCGGAAGGGTACCCTTGTATGGGGACTATACCAAAAACTGGAACGATATTGATCATTTTTAGCAGAAAGATTTGATACCCAATGAGAACCCCAAATATCAAATTGGAGCCAAATTCGGTGTAAAGACATGTCCAAAATCCTCAAAATATCGAACATCGGGAGGCGGCACTTATATGGGAGTTATACTTAAAAGTGAACCGATGTTAATAATTTTTGGTAGGAAGATTTTCAACCTTCTGAGTACTCAAAATTTCAAATTAGAGCCAATTCGAAAGAAAAATGTGGCCAAGATCCTCAAAATACCGAAAATCGGAGGGTACATTTCTATGGGTTGTACATTGATAATTGTGCCAATATTGATACATTTTGGTAGGAAGATTTACCACCCATTGAAAACCAAAAATACATAATTGCAAAATGTTCGATTGGAAAACGTGTCTGAAATCCACAAAATACGGAAAATCGGCAGGTACCAATATATGGGGTCTACGTTGAAACTTAGACCAATATTGTTAATTTTTAGAGTTTTTGTTTTATGCCTTTTTAGGGCGAAGATCATTCATGTAAATGTTTTTTTTTATTAATTTCTCTTTCGAGATGAGCTACATGATCGGAGTTGCAATGAAAAGGAAAGCCAGAGAGATACTACATTCCCACCACTATGCGACGCGTTTCGCCGTTGGTTAAGCGGCTCATCAGGCATATTGGGAATGTAAATGTTTTTTTTATTAATTTCTCTTTCGAGATGAGCTACATGATCGGAGTTGCAATGTTAGGCCGATTTTCTACCTCATGGGAACTAATAATATTAAATTACAGACAATTTGGCAAGAAAAAACCCTATCTAAAATCTTCAAAATATCGAAAATCAGGGGGTTCGATTATATGGGAGCTATACCTAAAAGAGGGTCGATATTTATAATTATTGGTGGGAAGATTTTGAACCTTCTGAGTACTCAAAATATAAAATTTTAACGAAATCGAGTGAAAAATGTGGCCAAGATCCTTAAAATACTGAAAATCGGAAGATACCCTTCTATGGGTTCTACCATGAAACTTGGGCCAATTTTAATAATTTTTGGTAGTAAGATTTTCTACCTTATGAGAACCAAAAATACATAATTGCAGAAAATTCGATTGAAAAACTTGTCCAAAAATCCTCAAATTATTGAGAATCAGAGGTATCGTAGTATGCGGACTAAAGCATAAAGTGGACCGATACTGATAATTTTTGATAGATAGATTTCCTATCCTTTCAAAATCCAGAATATCAAATTATAGCTACTTAGAGAGAGAAAAAAAAACGTGTTAAAAATTCTTAATGTACTGGAAAAATCGGAAATACTCTTACATGGGATCTACCCTGAAACATGGACCAAAATTTAAAAAATTGTATTGGAAAAAGATGCTACTCATATTTTTTTTGCTTTGAGAAATGTTGGCTCATTGAAAATCGAAAGTTCGGGTCCCTATGTATGGGAACTAAACCTAAAATTATACCACCATTAATAACTTCATTTTTTAATTTAGTCAGAAACCAAATTGCAGCCAAAACCTTAAGGTATCCCGAAATTGAGGTTCCGCTATATGGGAATTATATGTAAACGCAGACCGATATAACCCATATTCGATCTTGCATACTTCCAGGCTCAACATAATATAATTTTAAAAAGCCATTATACATTGGCTTGTAGACCCAAAGGCAGCTCTCATAGAACTTTTCTTTGAATCCAAAGGCTGTATTTTTTGAAACCCAATTTTTTGAACAACTTCCATGAAATTATCACCCCTTTTATTACACCCAAATTCCAATTTTTTTATAACCTCCATAAAATTAAAAATCAATTTATCCGCCTTGATTTAATAATTATTCTAAAAAAATTCAAATAAAAATTTGCATATTTTGAAAATCCCCTAAAAGGATAATACGCCCACTTTAGCTGCCATTGAAGCTTGAAAAGCCTGCCCATTATTTGGCTTCGATGAACAATTTACGAAAAAACAGCAACAACAACAAAAATAGGTCAAATAATAAGCGACCGCTAAGTGAAAAATAGCTGACAGGGCGGGGCCCAAACGACAGACAAAAGCAGCAGCAACCTTCGCGACAAGGCATATCAAGCTATTTGCATAATGAAATTTAAATATGTGTTTTCCGTTTTTCAAGTTATGAAACATGACATTAATGGCCAGAACGCACACAAATACACTCGCACACACACACACAGACGCACATCATAACACAGCAGCAAGGGTGGCTGGCAAAGTCAATATTTATGAGTATGACTTTGTAAAATAACAGAAAAACGAACAACAATCACAATAAAAGCCTGAGAATGAACACGAAGGCCAGGATATCAGCATGAAGTCGCGGAAGAAACGACAAATACATTAACAAAATGAAGAAGAAGAAGAAGAAACCTTGTATTGTGTACTTGTATCAAAGGTTGTGAACACACCGAACTTAATTTTTGCTTGACTCGAGGTTAAGCTATGCTCGTTCATTCGTTTGCTTTTCTGTGAGTGATTTTTTTTAGTTTTGTTTTTTTTCTGTCAACCATCCATTAATCCCTTGTAAGAGGAAAATTAAAAGAAAACTCGCAACATTGAAATGAAAAGAGTATTTTTTTGGTTTCTTCCGTTCCGTTTTTCTTTTCATCTTCCAAAAAAATATCGTATATTACAAAGAAAATATGAAATGATACTTACAATTCATGTCGAGTACAAATTTCTTGGTAAGAGCCGCCACCACATGGCCATTACTGGCTTGACAAGTGTAAACCTGTAACGAAAAGAAGAAACAAATTTTAGAAATTTTGAAATTATCTTTTTAATGATGCACAAATTAATTTGAAATTTTTCTAAATACAATTTTTGACGGTGTATATAGAAGGGAGGGGATAGGAATGGGTATAGAGTTGAGTTAATTTTTACTGAAAAGGAGGGAGTATATTTGTACCTTTGGAAAGCAAGGGACATTTTTTTAATTTGTCTCAAATAAGGTAGTAATATTTACGATAAATTCTATTGCATACTTTTAGGGTGATTATTATACCCTTTCGCCACACTGTGGTAGAGCATATTATGTCTTTGTGCATATGTTTGTAACAGGCAAATGTAATCGAGATAGACCCATTGTTCCATTGGAGAATATGCATAGAATCACTTTCTAAGTCGATTAACGCATGTCCGTCCGTCCGTCTGTCTGTCCGCCCGTCCATGTATTTTTGTGAACAAAGTACAGGTCGCATTTATGATCCGATTTGGATGAAATATGGCAGAGTTCACTTATTTGGCCCAAGGACGAACCCTATTGAAATTGAAGAAAATCGGTTCAAATTTAGATATAGCTCTTATGTATGGTTTCGTCCGATTTTATGTGAATGATACATCAAACTCCATATATTTGTCCGATTGGGACGAAATTTTGCACAGAGTACTGAATTAGGTCCAGACCGATGTCTGCGAAGTTTTGGTAAAATCGGTTCAGATTTAGGTAAAGCTCCCATATACAGTTTCATCCGATTTTATGTGAATGATGCACCAAACTCTTAATGTTTGTCCGATTGGGACAAAATTTTGCACAGAGTACTGAATTGGGTCCAGACTGATGTCAGCGAAGTTTTGTTAAAAACGGCCCAGATTAAGATATAGCTTCCGTATATATTATCGTCCGATTTAAGGTAAATGGGGCACTAAAGTCTCTATATACATTTCGATTTAGACGAAATTTGGCATAGAGTACTAAATTAGGTCCAGAATGATGTGTGCTAAGTTTCGTCAAAATCGGATCAGATTTAGATATAGCTCCCATACATAGTTTTGTCCGATTTTATGTAAATGGTCCGTATATATCATTCGATTTGCACGAAATTTGGCATAGGATACTGAAATGAGTCTACAATAATGTGTGCCAAGTTTCGTGAAAATCGGTTGAGATTTAGATATAGCTCCCATATATATTTTCCTCCGATTTTATGTAAATGGTCCATCAATGACCCTATATATCTTTCGATTTGCACGAAATTTGCCACAGCGTACTGAATTAGGTCCAGAATGATGTGTGTTAAATTTCATGAAAATCGGTTCAGATTTAGATATAGCTCCCGTATATATTTTCGTCCGATTTAAGGTAAATGGTGCACCAAAGTACCTATACATCTATCGTTTTGCACGAAATTTGTCATAGGGTACTAAATTAGGTCGAATATGATATGTGCTAAGTTTCCTGAAAATCCGTTCAGATTTAGATATAGCTCCCATATATAATTTCGACCGATTTTATATAAATGGTGCACCAAATTACCTATACATCTTTCGATTTGCACGAAATTTGGCATAGGGTACTAACTTAGGTCGAATATGATATGTGCTAAGTTTCCTGAAAATCCGTTCAAATTTAGATATAGCTCCCATATATAATTTCGACCGATTTTATATAAATGGTGCACCAAATTACCTATACATCTTTCGATTTGCACGAAATTTGGCATAGGGTACTAACTTAGGTCGAATATGATATGTGCTAAGTTTCCTGAAAATCCGTTCAGATTTAGATATAGCTCCGATATATAATTTCGACCGATTTTATATAAATGGTGCACCAAAGTCCCTATATATCTTTCGATTGTCACGAAATTTGGCATAGGGTAGTGAATTATGTACACAATGATGTATACGAAGTTTCGTGAAAATCGGTTGAGATATAGATTTAGCTCGTCCGATTTTATGTAGATGGTGCACCAAAGCCCATAAATGTCTTTCGATTTGCACGAAATTTTGCATAGAATACTGAATTGAGTCTAGGAAGGCGTGTGTCAAGTTCCGAGAAAATCGTGCCAGATTTAGGTATAGCTCCCATATATATTTTCTTCCGATTTAAGGTAAATGGTGCACCAAAGTCCATATATATATTTCGATTTGCAAGAATTTTGGTATAGCGTACTGAATTAAATCGATAATAATGTGTGCTAAGTTTCGTGAAAATTCAGTACAATCTATTGAAGTTACTATAATAATTTCGTGTGTCAAGTTTTCTTAAATTCGGTTCAGATTTACATATATCTGCTATATATACTTTCGTCCGATTTTAAGTAAATGGTGAACTAATAACCCATAGCTAGGCCGATTTGCACAACTTTGTGAAGCTAATATCTAAATCTGAACCTTGATGGCTGTTCAGATATAGATATAGCATAGCTTCAATATATAATTTCGATCTATTCTTGTTTATTGTACGCCAAATAATCAATCATTGATATTAAATTTTAAAAATTAAAGCATACCAAATAGTGAGTATAAAGTTTGCTTTAAATCTATTTACAAAATTTAGAATAGGTTGCAGAATGGCATGTTTTTATGATATTGCTATTATGTATACATACATAAAGATCATATATTTAACTTTGATAAATTTCATGTCAATGTTCCTTCGACGAAAGGCGACGTCTGTTAGGATACATATGTAGAATATACACAAAGTGCTGAAGGGTGTCATATAGTCGGTCCAGTCCGACTTTACTACTTTCTTTACTAGGTTAAAGTTAAAGCCTCTGTGGAATGCTTAAAAATATATATATTTTTTTTTTTCAATCAACTCCTTTATGGGATATCTAAAAAATATATATTTTTGAGAATCCACGCCTCTGTAGGATTAAATACTATTTCACAATTCAATACCACACCCATCGCCCAAACTCTGTTTCAATATGTCGCTGACTCCCACAGCCAAAACTACTTTTGTCTATTTACCATCATTATTAAAGCTTATTGCTATTTATACTTTCTCCCTAAACACACACAGACGTTATTTACACCCTCCCACTACCACAATCGAATCGGAAATGTCTACAAAAGTCAATATTCCTGTTACCAAACATGATGGTGATTATTATTGAAAGTGAATCAATGTTTTCATTTTGTTGACTTCTTTTTCATATTTTTTTCTATGATTTTTGTTTTCAATTTCTTCTCGTTGTTGTTGTCTTCTGACATTTGTCCCTCCATTAACTTTGAATGCTGTTGCTACTTTTGCTTCTACTCCTACTTCCACTTCTTCTGCTACTGTTGTTGTTGTTGCTATTGCCGTGTGTGAAAAGGAAGACCAATAAAAAAAGAGATTGGAATCCTGAAAGGACGTTGCTAGGTGATGGGACCCAATACTGAAACTAACACTTGGTGTTAGTTAAAAATATTTTTTCCAAAACTAAAACTAGGTGTAGATTTTTATAAAATATTTTTTATAATTTTTTTTTATTTTTTTATCTATATAAGCGTGGATATGTTTTAAAGGATCTAAAAAAGGCGTGTATTTTGTAAAAATATTTGTTAAGGACCTTAAAAAAAGCGTGAATTTTTATACCCTTCACCACACTGTGGTACAGGGTATTATGTCTTTGTGCATATGCTTGTAACAGGCAAAAGGAAAAGAGATAGACACATGGTTCCTTTTGAGAAAATGCATAGAATCACTTTCTAAGTCGATTTATGCATGTCCGTCCGTCTGCCCGTCTGTCTGTCTGTACATGTTAAATTGTAAACAAAGTACAGGTCGCATTTATGATTCGAATTGGATGAAATTTGGCATAGGTCACTTATTCGGCCCAAGGACGAACCCTATTGAAATTGGGAAAAATCGGTTCAGATTTAGATATAGCTCCATATATATATTTAACCGATTTAATGCAAACGGTCCCTATATATCTTTCGATTTGCACGAAATTTGGTACAGCCTAATCATTTAGGTCTATAATTATATCTACCAAGTTTCGTGAAAATCGGCCCACATTTTGATATAGCTCACGTATACAGTTTCGTCCGATTTCATGTAACTTGGTGCACCAAAGTTCCTATATATCTTTCGATTTGCACGAAATTTGGCATAACGTACTTAATTGAGCCCAGAATGATGTCTGCCAAGTTTCGAGAAAATCGGTCCAGATTTAGATATAGCTCCCATATATAGTTTCGCCCGATTTCATGTAAATGGTGCCCAACGTACCTATATATATTTCGATTTTCACGAAATTTGGCATAACGTACTTAATTTAGCCTAGAATGATGTCTGCCAAGTTTCGAAAAAATCGGTCCAGATTTAGATATAGCTCACATATATATTTTCGTCCGATTTCAAGTAATCGCCCCTATATATCTTTCGATTTGCACCAAATTTGGCATAACGTATTGAAGTGATGGCTGCCAAGTTTCGAGAAAATCGGTCCAGATTTAGATATAGCTCCCTTTTATTATAGATTGATTTTAAGTAATTGACGCACCAAGGAACCAATAGGCTGATAGGAACAAAACGTTCTGAAATTACTATAACCTAACCTGTGACATGTTTGTTTGAAATCGCTTAATATTTGGATAGAGCTTAAATATATATATATATATATATATATATTCGCCCCGATTTCAAGTAAATAGGGTATTTTTTTAGGTGATTTTTTTGAAAATATTGTTTTTCAGGGTTCAATGAAGGGCGTGGATTTTTTAAAAAAATATTTTTAATTTACCTCCTAAAAGCTACCAATCTTATTACGCCTTAAAGTATGCAACAAAAATATTCATTAAAATAAAATCCCTCTTTATCCCTATTGTGTTCGTCCTTTTCTTTTCTGTCTGCAAAATTAATTTATATTTGTTACCTCATGAATAGCATAGCCTTTATTATTTAGTTTCTCCTGTCTCCCCTGATTTATATCCCCCCTTTTGGCCCCAGGCCGCAAAAGGGCTCAGTTACTAATTTTTGTTTATTATTGAATATTGCAGATTTTTGTTTGT